AGTCGACATTCGTACTGAAATTCGGTTATAACGACCTGAAATCAGTGGCTCCTCTGAGTTGGTAGTTTACTGCATATTATGAGAGGCGTATTTGCTCGGGGATTCAGATGTAGTATTTTACAGACACGAATTTTCAACAACCACCACTTGTGGTTCCGAAATAGACAAGGTTCCATATACTCCATGTGGTTTCAATGTGTGATTTACTGATTGTGTGTCGTCGTCCCGGTCGGTGTTCATCGGTTTTAATTCATTTGATTATTGATCTTCCACACCAAGGCTCTACCAGTACGGAAGGCCATTTCTGAGAACATCTGGCCCCGATTTCTCGAAACAAACTCAAGTCTGAGTTTTGACTTAAGTCAGAGTTTTTAATGATCCCGTCAAATAATTGTCACAGCCATCTATTGGCCATGTGGTTGTCCAGTTCCCTTCAATGTACTTCTACAAACTGGTTATTTCAGGAACATAGTCCCAGTCTTAAAATCAACATATACTCCTCACAAAAAAATAAGCAACAAGTATTTTTAGTGTAACATCCTTATCAATCTCGATAGCGATTTTTGCCGACATTCAAAGAATACATAACCTTGAGTGACTGTCAAATTGATTTATCGGATAACATTGACAACATCACCGGAACACTACCACCCTCAGAAACAACATGCGAAATGTGTGGCATGAATGTGCTCCACTCTTCACACATGCACCCTGATCGGTGTAAACCTACCTGTAATCATTCTTCTGGTACAACAAGAGGGTCCTAACTTCATTTTTATGGATAATAATGTCCGCCGATGGATGATAATGCCCGAGAAAGAGTTATTAACGATGTTGTTTAGATCAACAACATCACACATATGGACTGGCCTGCAAGGTCACTTGATCTTAATCCCATTGAACATGCTTTGGACATTATTGGAAGTCGTGTTTACGGTCTCCATGTTCACCCTCATGCTCGGGATGACCTTGGGCAGGCGTTACAGAGATAATGGCAGAACATTCCACAAGAGCAACTTTAAAGGCCCATTTGGTCAATGCAAAGACGTGTAGAAGCTTGCATTTGTGCTCATGGTGGTCATACGCGTTACTGAACACTGCTTCACTGTTCACAACTGACTTGAAACTTAACGTTAACATTTTGCTCCATCAATGCAGCACATTTTGCACGACTGTTTCGCGGGTACATGCTTTTGATGATTTGTAAGTCTATTATTGCTCAATGACATTTCATTTCATTTTGTTAATCCTGTGTACATATGTTTCACCTTTCTATTGCATCATTCCATGATTTGCAATGTCTATTAATGAAAATGTTATGAGACTACAAATATGTGTTGCTTTACTTTTTGTGAAGAGTATATTTTAACCTTAAGTAGATGCATGTTCACTTTCATATAGTTGTCGGTAAAAGCAAGCCGCAGTCCAATGATACTTGTCAATATGGCCCAGTCCAAGTCGCCCAGTACTAGCTGTCAATAAAGGTGGGTCACCAGTCCCATACTAGCTGTCAACAAATCAATAAAGGTGCGTCACCAGTCCCATACTAGCTGTCACCAGTCCCATACTAGCTGTCAACAAATCAATAAAGGTGGGTCACCAGTCCCATACTAGCTGTCAACAAATCAATAAAAGTGGGTCACCAGTCCCATACTAGCTGTCAACAAATCAATAAAGGTGCGTCACCAGTCCCATACTAGCTGTCAACAAATCAATAAAGGTGCGTCACCAGTCCCATACTAGCTGCCAACAAAATAATAAAGGTGCGTCACCAGTCCCATACTAGCTGTCAACAAATCCGATACTGTTGTCAGCAAAGACGAGTCCCAGTCCCATACTAGTTGCCAATAAAGGTGAATCCCAGTCACAAACAGGCTCAACTGGCTCAGTATCTATCGACGAAATCCTTCACTCTGCATCGGTTGTATATTGAGTGAGTGAGTGAGTTTATTCCAGCAATATTCCAGCAATATCACCAGGGGGACACCATTCACTGGAACATGAACATGAAATCTTTCTGAGCACTAATTATTTCGTGCGTGGACTAATGGCAAATTCCAGGAAGTTGACGATTCAAATGAATCCAAGATTAAATTAGCTTACAAAATGGTGCCCTTGCACGAACAGTACGCATGTGTTTAACGGGGACGATTGGTTTCCTCGGATCATTTTAGAAGTAAGGTTGTTCTTCTGTTATGTGACACCTGATTAAATGCACTTAATCAACCTATATTTCATCTGTGGAATCATGGAGTCACGAACTGGCTTGAAATACCCTTGGTGTGTGTCAATGAAAGTCTACGCCATGTTTGTATTGTTTCCTGGGTAATCAGTGCAGGTGTTTCAGAGACAACTCATTCCTCCACGGCAGATGTGATGCTCTTTTAACAAATATAAGTAAGACTATTTTTAACAAATATAAGTGGATGAGGGGCACCTTTCGACTTTCAAACCAGACAAGAAATCTGCGCAGCATGCCATATAATTTTACTGGCAGGAGCTGACCTTTTATGATTCAAACGACTGCACGAGTACATTCCATGCCGTGAATCACTGTCGGCTGCGAATAAAGAATGATCAGAAGTCCATACAACAATCTACATAAGATATTAAACCTTGAAAGCTGCAATTTCATCTACCTCTTGGACTGATTTATTTACTCCAACTATTCTGCGTATAGATCTGATAACACCTTTATAGAAAGTTGCGTCATGTCGAGTTTCTGCTCGACGTCAAGAAAAACTCACACAAGTATAGCTTATTTCATTATCTCGAGGACGAATATAATCATTGGGATCGGAATGCAATAAACAAAGAAAGGCGCACTACATGATGTCGTTTCTGACAGTCCAGACCCGCGAAGATCCGGGTTAGAATTGATCTTCAGTAACCCATGCTTGTCTACCCGTGAAGGTCCGGGTTAGAACTGGTCTTCAGTAACCCATGCTTGTCGTAAGAGGCGACTAACATGATCGGGTTGTCAGGCCCGCTGACTTGGTTGACACATGTCACCGGTTCCCAATTGCGTAGATCGATGCTCATGATGTTGATCACTGGTTGTTTGGTCCAGACTCGATTATTTACAGACCACCGCCTTGTTGCTGGTGTATTGCTGAGTGCGTCGTTAAACAACTAACAGAGTTGACAGATCTGACAGTCTCTCTCGACCATAACAACAATCTACATGAACATGAGATTCATCATCACCACATGCCACCTGATCAGAAACAAATCTGTTTCGGATGGTACTGCCACGTGTCCCCCCGACTAGCGCAACATTAGTATCTATCTCGTCTGTCACAACTTTCGCCATGTCCTTCCACAGACTGACATCAAATTCCATATGCTGACGGGAAACCTACAACAACTAAACATTGAACAAGACATCAAACATCAATTCTGTGTTTTTAGCTTCTTCACCAATTACCACGTGGGTGGATGCATGGGCTCCGAAAAGTGGGTTTATATCATTTGAATGCAGAGGACCAACTAAATGGGACAAAATGTTCACAACACACATCCATAATACATATTTACTTATGTTGTACAAAACGTACGACCCGTGAAGATGCGTGTTAGAACTGGTCTTCAGCAACCCATGCTTGTCGACATGTCATCATATCCCACAATGTACCAGTTCCTGTTCTCTGCAATATCGGGTACCTCATAAGTCCTTCATTATTCAAAATTTTAGGGACCTTCAACAGTTTCATTTACCTTCACCAACTTCATTTCATCTAATTTGTTCAATTATTAAAAATGTTGAGTAACGTTGACTTGACAACCAAACTCGTGATGTTCATTCCACTACTTGTGTTTGCAAAAGGCTCCCCATATGACCACCAACACAATCACAGATGACGTCACTATGTATTGTTGACAACTGCAACCTTAGTCAGTTATTTAGATACGGATCCAAAAGTAGAACATGCCTGCTGCAAATTGGGACCAAATATATTATGAATGCTTTAGAAGCGTAGGGGATAATGGATGAATGGAGAAGGTGAACCTGCTGAATGTCGTTTACTTCAGTATGTTATGTTATTATTGGCTTAGTGAACAGAATTAAAAACAAAGAAACAGAATGGGTTTTTTAGTTGTATCTACTACGCTTTAAACATTACCATTATATATAAAACTAACGGTAATACTGGTATACTGGCCCCGGAATCATGAAAGTGTCTTAAGTCCATATTTTGTCTTAAGTCTTAAAATTTGGACTTAAGACTAAATTTAGTCTTAAATTTGGGATCACGAAGCTCGATCTTTAAGAAAATCTAAAGTCTAAGACCAGATTTGATCTTAAGTCCTAAGACTGCCCCTGAGTAGACTTAAGACAATATTTGTAACAGTAAAGATGGCTGAAGTGATCCGCCTCGTTCGTAGGATTCGTTCTAAGAGAAATAGACGGCATATTCAGAGGACTTTTCGGGATCGTTTCAACCCTATGGAAATGTATAGCGACGATCAACTCTTTCAAAGATACAGATTTCGTCGTTCTGCCATTTTTTCCATTGTTGATTTAATCAGCCATGAACTTGCACATCCCACCCAGCGTTCTCACAGTCTCCCACCCATCATTCAAGTACTGATATTCCTTCAGTTCGTTGCAACTGGTGCTTTTCACCTATTAGTGGCCCAGTCGTTCTCTGTCAGCAAGGCCACAGCAGGCAGGTGTGTCCGAAGAGTGGCAGATTCACTCTGCAGACTCTCAACCCGATCAAACGCGCTTTCCATGCTATTGCCGAAAAGTAATACGTCCAATAATCACATCTGAGCATTAACATGATAATCTAAATAAACATATGCACGATAAGGATACATATGGTGCTTTCCCGAGTCAACGGAGGCAGCCATTTTGATCTAAAATTAGCACACGACACTGATGCCCCCTATAAATAAACATACCGTAAATAATCTACATTGAAACTAAAACCTTACCGAAACCTGTCGGCATTCATCTCAAAACAATGAGAGTACAAAACTGGTCATGTATTTAATCACGTCACTGAACTGAAAGTGACATTTTTCACACATTTATGTATCTACAGATCGGTGTACAACTTGTCACTCTAGATATAACCATATTACATCCGCTTCAAAAACCATATTTGACAAATGAAATGAGCATAAAACAGAAACAGCTGATGATAGTTATCCGAATGTAGTCACAACTGCTGACCACTATCCATTGGTAACCAAAGGAAACAGTCACTACTGCTTACATGAGCGTTGGTTGTGTCCAACAAGTTGGCACTTGCCACATTTCTTATCACACACACTTCTTTTTGACTTTGTCAGGTATTCAAGTCTGTTTTGTTTCAGCATTATCTGTTTAAAAGCTTCTCTACCCCTGTGTGAGGTAGAGCGAAAGTACCACTTGGTAGCATAGTCATTCAGTTTCTCAAAACCTTGCTGAGAGAAAGTAATAAGATTACCATGGAGTTTGATCATTTCAGGAGCATGAAAAGCTAAGATATGCATGTACGGAGTAACATACTTACTTTGATACACATACGAAAACGTTCTGACCCAGTTCCTCCATTTGTCACCTAATACTTGATATTGACTTGCGTGAAATGATTCTTTTGAGAGAAGCTGAGATATTTGTGACAACTTGGACCACAAAAAGTAATATCATATATCTTAGGGTGATCCGGTATGAACTCTGACACCTTAAGGCTTTCAGAAATCTTTCTATGCTCTGGTCCAGTAAAGTCCCAGAAAGTAAACCTTACAGTTTCTTTATCATTTCTGAAACGAAATTCAATCCCTAAAGTTTGTACAAAATTCTCGAACTTAAACACATTTCCACACTTTGACCTGTCATATTTTCCATTGCACCTTTGAATGGTGTCCCTCGTTCTAAGCTCAGTGATGAGATGTTTCACCAGCTGGTCAGATACTCGAAGATATAAATGTAGCAAATCTGGTACTACTCTGGTTAAGGCAATAAAACTGAATAGAGGTGGATGAAGACAGTTGAAATTCTTATTTTTTTTGTTAGACATTGTTGAAATTTCCTCTACTGTCCTGGCGCCTTTCTGAACATCAACAAGTGACCACTCTCTACTCATATCATGTCTGTCAAAGTTAGGACATTTGCACCAAACACAGCTGTAAGTGCAGGAACATGAAGCAAGACCACACACCATGTTTAGAAACTTTAAGTCTCCACCTAGGAAATATGTAACATGAACCAGGGTACCTCCAATGTTCAAAGTGTTTAATGCCTTTGCTTCTGTGACTATATCTTCTAGGGCTTTTCTGATATTATCATAAGTTTCATTACCTGTAAACATGGCTAACAAATAGTTTCCTCTGACTGAAGTACATAGGTCTTCATCCAATATAGTAAAACCAAAATTTATTACCTTTTTTCTCCTGCCTAGTTCAGTGCCATCACCCGTGAGTTTAACATTGACAGATTGCTTCGAAAGTATAGCCTGACCCTTCCCCGATGCAACAATGTTAGATACACAGTTAGTAAGTCGATCTCGCAGAGATTGCTGAACACCAACAGTATCATTTGGTGTGTCCCTGATCTTTACATCAACATTGATTTCCTTAGCTCTTTTGACAACTGAATGTAACCGTGGCATGTCTGGTACAACCATTGATAATTCATGATAAGCTTTGTTCGATATGTTTTCAGAATCCTTAACATACAATAGTGCATCTAAATCCGTGACAGAGCCATTCTCTTCTTTAACGTCTGAAACTGAATTCTTATCCAGAGATAAACGTAACCGTTTGCCATCTTCCTGTCTAACGTCTACAGAGACTGCTTCCATGTTGTACCTCCCAACAAATGCCAAAGACTTCCTACAGTCACCCAATAACATCTTTTTTCTTTTATGTATCTGAGATCTAGACAAACATGTATTAGGTTCTAAAACCCTCAAAGGTCTGACTGATTTACTGTTTTGATTTTGCAATAACATGCAATATAATTTTTGAATCTTTTTACGCAACACATTTTTTGAGTCTGGAGTTTCTTTGCCTGGTGAACAACTGAACGGTATCTTTTGAACATAATCGTCCTCAATTTTCTTTCCTGTAACAACTGCTTCTGCATAGCCGGACGATATGCCTCAGAGACATCAACTGTCAAAATATACTTTTCAACTTTCCAGTCTTCAAATAATTGCCTATACTGCATGCCCCCCTTTCTTTTGGTTTTATCATGCTTTGAAATGAGTTTTTTCAAATAACTTATAAATTTGGGTAAACATTTGTCTAAAATGACATGCTGAAAGTCAATGTTGTTATTTTGACATACAGTCGACAAGACTGCCTGGCATATATTTGGCTTAAATGTGTTAACTTTGGTTTGTTTTCTAAACTCTTCATACAATCTTGATTTTGTGATGCTGACAGATATTTCAAAATCACCAGACATACCCAGATGAAAAGGGGATAACAGAATAAGTATCGAAGTGAGCAGAAGGTTAAACAATATCATCATAATTGAAACAAAAGCAAAAGCTGAAAGTCAGCTGTCAGAACAGAGGACATCACATCTTAGTGCCTTAGGGTAACCCTGAGAAGGTTGAGATCGAACCTGTTTCCCTTTTCTCGAACAAATTTGATTTTGAACATGAAACCTCTATGACAAAGTTTCTTTCTCATGTCTAGAGTATATTCCTCTCGTGGCTTTCTTTCGTAGTACCTGAAAATGATGGTCTCGCGGTTAATGTATACAAAGTCTCCAGTCTGGTTTATTATCCTGACCCACCATTCATCACCGAACAAAATATCCGGACTGTGTACATCAAGGAACTTAAACTCTGCTCCTGGGGTGGACCCATTCCATGACCTAACCTCTCTTGACAGATCTAGAATGTCCCTAGCTATCTCAGGCGAAGATATTGGGATCTTTATAGTAACCAGAGAGTCTACCCCTCTCCAACAGTGCAGCTGATCTCTTAAAGATGATAACAGCTGAAATTTGAAGATGTCATTTGGACAAGAACTAGACAGACATGACCTTGTAACGATACTACTATCACTGACCCATTGGTCATATTCCTTGGCCCACCCTACATAATGTACCAGGCTTTGCTGTACCCCATCTACCACCCTAGTTTCCAACACTTCCACGTCAAACAACTGCTGGTCATTCCAACTGGGCGATCTAGTCCGCAGCTGTGCGCTGAACGTTTGTCCAGGAGGTCTGTAATCTGGCCTATGTCCACTGCTACTGCAGCTGCTGCGTAAAGTAGGTGGCATCCTGTCTAAACATAAGAAACTCTATGAATAAAAGAGCACTATCAATAACACTATCAATTATATTATCTATTTATATGAAGAGACAACTCATCTAAACTTGAGTTTCTTAACTATAGCTTTATTGTTAGCTGATCAGGGTGAGGGTTGTTGGGAGTGGGGGACGTAGGTGGTTGTTTGGTGGGGTTGGATAAGAAATAAGACTTTGCTTTTTTCAGTCATGCAGATGTTTATGTCACTTATGGATTTGGGGTTGCATTTTCTATGATATGCGTTTTGAGCAATTGTGCGGTAGAATACTAAAACTGTGTCAACATACCTTGACCAATATGGTTTGTAAATTGTAAAATTGATAATGGTCCAACCCGTAATATACACCCCAAGGGCAATGCATTAAACCCCCTATATATGGCCATGTTGATAAAATCTTGCAGAAATATTACAATTGATTAAAGCTGAAGACAGTTGGATCATAATAAACAATCCTATAAGAAGGTAATCAACATATAATTTATTTAGTGCTTTTATACACAGTACACCTTTGACTGAGCTTCCTCTCAGTGTTCTAACTTATCCAATCCAAAGGTAATTTTCAATTCTAGCAATAAAAGTGTTCAAGCTCTAGAGTGAAAATCGTACATATATTTTAAAGAATTTTATCAAATTAATACAAACCCACCAATATGAAAAGCCTAATGTGAAGGGTGGTTCAAATAAAGTTCAGCTATCAATGGTAGTGATACTGAAATGATGAACGAAATATGATTATTGCATTATTACAAGAATAAATAATAACAAGTTGACATTATAATCGAATAGAACTGACTATCTTTACATCACAGTGGAGAACCCTGTCATGAAAGGTATGTAAATTATATCTTAAAATATAGATAGACTGATTTAATTCAAAACTATCAAAATCAGAGGTTAATTAAACATTAATCAAAAACACATAGCAATCTGTAGGGCAGAAAGTTTTGATTTCAGGTGCCCAGAAGCAAAACACTAGCTCGAGTTTAAACTAAACTTTAGACTACAATGTACAAGCAAGTTGAAAGTCTGTTAAAAGACAGGTTATCCTAATAATTATTCAGAAATTCACATTGCTGTTGGTCAAAAATAGAAAACTCTACTAATGTTTGGTTATAGTCAGGAATTCCTTACAGGCCCCCAGGGCTAGCAGTCTCCGAATTTCATTAGCCCTAGATAATTTTGACTACCCTCAGGGCTACGGTCTAGTATATTAATTTCTAGCCATGAAACTATTCAATGAACACACTTTAGAGTTTTCTGTATAAGTTCAACTTTTTCAATCACAAATAACTTTCAAATTTTATTTTTGGCATTAATTCTATTCAAAATTTCAAAGGGATAATTATGTATATTTCAAGTAAATATATTCAATAAGAATATACCAATTTGAAGAGTCGTTTTTTCAATACAATAAAGTACAAAAGTATTTTGATACTATTTATTATTATGATATTATTATGAATCTTCTGAAAACAAAAATAAAATATAATATCATGAATGTATCTTGATGGAAAGTATTATGTTTTGATTACTTTAGTAAATTTGCTATTGATGAAAACATACCACTTGTAGCAAAAACTGTACAGTACGACGCTGCACTAGTCAGACTTCAACAAGACAGCAAGCTGAAACAAACAGTATAACTCAATCTGTCTTCTGCAGAGTATACAAGCCTAACAGTTTATAAATCATAATTTGGAAGGGCCCATTCGAGAATGTCATTTGAATTCGAAAATAATATTTTAGGTATATTGTTGAGCTTTTTGAAGAATGTAAATAAAATCATTTAGAGTAATCTCCCTTTGCATCACCCCTTCTAGTAAAATAGACGAGTCCCACGTTTTGAGAGATAATTACTTGCTTATATTTGTGATTCCTATCATTGTAAACATGTTTAAAAGTTCATATTTGTATTCTAGACCTTTTATTTAACAACAATTCAATAACTTTATACTCTTAACGTACCTTTTAGTGTCGTTCTTGTCGACAGAACGTCGAGTCGCTGTTGACGTGTGGCGTGCTTGGGATAACGTCATAGAAAGGGGCTTGAGAAAGCTTCAATTTGATTAGCAAAATTCGTATTACGGCGCCAATAATTGACCAATCAAACAGTGCCTTATATATTACGATCGGAAACGATGTCGGAAACGTGAATCAAGTTTATCCAGACAACCACGACATACTGTGGTATTTTAAGAGCGCTTCGAAGTGAGCAGTCGAGGCCTCGTAGCCTATGACACATCACAATTGCACCAAAGCTATTTACGACACCAATGTTAGTTTGTTTTATCCAGTGTAACTAAATAAAACACCAAAACGTTATTTTAAATCAGTTTTCAGTTGAACCAGTAACCAAATATATGTTGCAAGTTTTAAATAGAGAGGATAATATGAGATTCGTGAAAGTAGGTCACGCTTCCAATATGGCCAATGAAACATGTGATTTGGTTTGCAACATGTCATTCACCTTCCTAAACGAACAATATGGTATTGTGCACAGGATACAGGTAAGACATGTCAATACATGTACGACATTTTGATAATTTTCTTCCGCTTGATCTGCTCCCTGTCAGTAAACACAAATTTGAAAGCTGGAAGGTTCGTTCAAAGACGAAACGAAATAATTTGTAAATGGGTATTTTTTAAAGAAGTGAATGAAAAATTAAAGCAAACAGTTCATTCAGAGAGCAATATATTTACGACATACTTCGCCATAAAGAATTCGTTTCGAATGAACCCACCGAAACTGGAGAGTTGTTCGGGGGGACAACTCTGTCAAATTTCCCTGACATTTTCTAAAGGGTGCTATTAGTCTTGTCTCACAGTCCCTGAACTACATTATTTTCTCTTCCACCCAGTCCTTCTAGCAATGCTAACGCCCTAAATAAAGTACGTCTAGATCTCCCCAGGTTCTCCCAAATCACTGGGGCTCCTTTTCCATTTGAATGGAATTACTTTTTTCGATCGAAATTACACACTAGTATATTCTGAGATTAAGCATGAGTCTAGGGGCTATTTCCACCAATATGTGAAGCTTCATTACGTCACCATTCGAGGTTTCAATAGATTCATACTTCGGGCGTTTAATTACCACAAGTACAGTAGTTCACGGAATGTGCTGTTTCTACCCTTACTTTCTTTCGGTCTAGCAATATCTAAAGTGCAATGAGTTTCTAAACAATGTTACAATTGAACAGTTTACTGACTCAGACTGAAATGGCGACTGAAAAGATCTAACTTCGCCTACTAAAGTAGTTCATGCCGTGCGGGGTTCTCTAAATGTTAAATTGCCTCAGACAAAAGTCATGAAATGAAAAAAGACTGCACACAACCCAGACGTTGCAGCCTTATGCCTGGCTGAACTACATAAGATCCTACCATAAACCTTTAAACACGAAGATACAATTAAACAGTCGGGCAGAGATGGATTCTCCTTTATTACACTTGCCGGTGGCCATACACCCACGCCAAGACACTGATAATAACGTCCTGTTATAAGTACAGTTTAAATACACAAACTTCGACCTGTTAAGATATGAGTTGCAATTGTCTTCACTTTGCTTGTAGTTTACAAGAGGCGACTAACGGGATCGGATGGTCAGACTCGCCGACTCGGTTGACACATGTCATCGTATCACGATTGGGTTTATCGATTTCCGAATTGCTTAGGTAGGTGCAGATGACGGCAATCACTGGATTGTGTGGTCCAGAACCGATTATTTACAGACCTCTGTCACATACCTGTAATATTGTTGAGTCTGATCTAAAACGACAATACTAAGATGCTTCGGTGAAAGATCAAAGGCGCCGACAGTACTTTATCAGACGATAATGTACACTTTTTGCAATAAGTTACAATGTATTGGCGTCACTGCGCCATTCTAGTCTGCCCCCCTCGTAATTGAACAATTTTGCATTACATCACAATGTAAGCGACGTCACGAGGCATGTCAGTTGTCATCGCCTCGTACAGCCTCCCACAGTAAATTTCTCCGTTGCATCCCGTTTCTTGGTTTGCAGTTGCTTCATGCAGCTAACATCACTGGTGGATTCATTAAGTTTATGTTTTTCGACGGTTAAAATGTCTCAATTCGACTCACAAGTTTTCAGCGACGCGGTAACGTTCGCAATGTTTGCATTCCCACTACGCAATCGTGGAATGTCGCTTGACTATTCAGCTTCATCTGGATGTACTGATCTAAACTTAATTTGGTAGTAGAAATGCGACATTCATAGTGCCCCATATGGTTTACGTTAATCACAGATGTAATTAAAATAATTTAGAGAAGATATCTAATCCGAACGTAAACCGTCATCAAACTGTTTATCATTTGTTTTTCTCTGGTAACGTTCGTCTTAATGTAGGGGGACAGACACATCAATAGAACAGCACGCCAGTTAGCCCTGTTTGAGGATTCTGAATTTAGGTCACCGACACCGTCGTTTGTTTTCTGCCTTAGATTAATCGTAATTATCCTTAGAAAGTATTAAATTTGGCATCTTATACCCCGTGCGCACGCACCAGTTTACGCACGTGAGCTAATTTACACGCCATGTAAAAAATACACACGTGTGTAAACGTGTCATGCGAACGCATCTACACACGTGGGTACATGTATGTTTTGATGTTTAAACATCAGAAGTCAGACTCACAAGCTATCATTCCAACCTGAAAGATGAGGACTTTTGTTACATACCTCATTTTGTACAATAAATTGGTAACATACTGTCTTATTGTCAGCGCTGTCATCATGGCGATATTGTCGAGCCATGACTCCAACGTGTTATTAAACTCAGGAGTTAATATATTCTGTTTCAACTCCTAACACTAGACAAATATATATGACACCAGTATCTGATAATCAATAGAGCCATACCTAGACTTATGTTGATAAGTAACTGTAAAGTGTTAACCTTGTAACGTCAATTCAGCGATTACCACTTTATATGTTATATCCGTTAGATAATAAGTCAGCAGACAAGTGGCTAACTTACAGAAATGAGTTGAATATAAGAAAATGAATGGAAAGAATAATTTGAGACTGACATCCGATTTTTATAATTTTGGTCTAAACGGACCATCATACCCTATCACTGGAATGGAAAAGTACGTGCCTCGAACTTTCATGTGTCGAAGTTACGTTTTATCTTTCAGCAAAATCTTGGTCACTATTTAGTCATTTAGTGTCGAACCCTGATAACTCGAAATGTTTATTGAGGTCTCGTCAACGTCGACACAACAGTATTCAATTTCATCGAATGTCAAAATTCAAATTACATCATAACTCTATGATTCTGGCATACATATTCTCTTCACTTTTGGAAATTGGTATCAAGCAAAAGTTGTGTAAAGCATACACAACAAGCAGTGTCCAGTTATACGTTTCAACAATGGTGACACTAAAGTATTGTCAGAGAGACATGTACTAGGGTCGATCAAAATGTTCACAGAATTCAATATAAAAATAAGAGGTAGAGAAAGTTATATTTTGCAATATAGTCTAAATGCACTTCAAGGCACTTTGCGTCTTAATAGTTCTGCAAGCTGTCAGTGCACTGAAAATAGTCTTCTGATTGGTCCGAAACCAAGCAGCTTCTCTAACAGCCTTAAGCTCGTCATCATTGAAAAATCTGGTTCCACGCAAGGGAGACAAGAAATTACGAAACAGATAATAATCACTAATTGGCAGGTCAGGGATAATTCAGCTGTTCGAATTTGCAATCACGGACGATAGCTTGAGCAACACTACGTTTGTGAACAAGTGCGTTGTCATGAAGAACCAGTACACCGGCAGTTATTATCCGGCGGCGCATAACATTGATTGCGTTCCACAGCTTCTTCGTTAAGTCATCATAGTAGGACCCAGTGATTGCTCTTTGAGTGCTCTGTAACCAATTATCAAAAGTTCTTGGAAACAGCTAAAACAGTGTCTATTGGGGTGCCCGTAGAGGGATAACTTTTGAACTTCTCTGGCGCAGTCTTGTGTTCCGCTGCTTTCACTCTGGTTTCGTATCAGGGTCGATGTAGTGAATCCGAGTTTCAGCTCCGGTTATTGTAAGTGCATGAAATCTGTATGGATTTGCCACGTACATGTCGAACGCAATTTGTGCATTAAGCTTTCGGGGACATATCTTGCACTCAAGACAGGTTCAAATGTTTATGGATTATATTGCAATCAGACCCGTGAAGATCCGGGTTAGAATCGATCTTCAGTAACCCATGCTTGTCGTAAAAGGCGACTAACGGGATCGGGTGGTCAGGCTCGCTGACTTGGTTGACACATGTCATC